TCTCCCTCTCCAGTCCCCGCGGCCAGCCCAAGGGCCCCGTCGCTTTATAGCCAGGAAATGCAGAGCTGCAATCAGGTGATGCACGCAGAACGGCCAGACAATGGATCCAATCAAACCCTCTCGCTGTCACGCGCTACAGTTCATCGCCTGCCACAGCTGATTCTCCCCGTCGATGTCGACGCAAGAGCCGACTTGGCCTGGCCCCCTCCCCTAGGAATCTCGCGAGGGCGAGGTGGTGTCAGGTGATTGGATTGGCTGGGCTGGTATGTGAACAAGTACCTGCTGGCTGAAATACGTGAGAAAAAATATTATTTTGACTGTTAAAATACGTGAAAAAAGAAAAAAAATATTATTTCGACTGTTAAAATACGTGAAAAAAATATTATTTCAATTAAAAATTTACGATCGTTTCACCCAGCCGAACGTGCTGCTGGCCTGGCGCTTCTCGTTCTCCTGCTGCTGCAGAGCCTGCGACGGGCGATTTGACTTGGCTCAAGCGAACGCAAACGCAACTGGAAGGCGTATTCAAAGTTTACGTAAATGCTGCAGGAAGGCGTGTCGTGTACCACGTGCTGGGCGCGAGGAGTGACCAGACTCGACACCAACAAGAGACGGGGACGCCACGCCTCACACGTCACACTGCAACGGCCGCCGCACCACCACCACCACGGCACCACCCCACCCAATCCCATCCCCACCGGGCGCCGCCGCCTCCCATGGCGGACTTCGGCGACGAGCTCTTCCTCGACGTCGGCGACGACGGGTTCGGAGACCTCTCCTACGTCTCCTTCTCCGAGTCCATCGAGTTGGATCTCGCCTGCCCACGCCACGTCCTCTCCCCGGGCTTCGATCCCGAAACCCTAACCCCCACCCCGGGGTCTCCCATCTCCTTCGACTCCGACCCCGACCTCCGCTGCCTCTCCCCCTCGCTGACCCGCTCCCCGCCCTTCTGGGACTGCCTCGACGAAGACGCCGCTAGCTTCGAGTGGGAGGAGATCGCGGACGCTGCCCCCGGCGTCGGCAGTGGCGGTGGCGGTAGCGGAGGGGGAGGGGGAGGGGGAGGACTAGAAGGAGAGACCGACGCTGACGTGTTCGGATTCCTCGACGAGCGGGAGATGCTGGGCGTGATGGAGGGCATCGACAGCGGGGACGACGACTCGATCTTCTCCGACGAGCCTCCGTTCGACTTCGGCGATGACGACGCGGAGCTCGAAGGCATCTTCCAGAGCGGCGTCGGGTGGGAGCTGCTCCCGGCGTCGCTGGACGACGAGTTCGAGATTCTGCCAGGGCACGTCGTGGACGTGGGCGGCGCCCCGCCGGCGGCGCGTGCGGCGGTGGAGCGGCTCCAGGTGGTGGCCGTCAGAGGCAAGGAGGCTGCACAGGGGTGCGCTGTGTGCAAGGAAGGGATGGAACAGGGGGAGCTCGCCACAGGGCTGCCGTGCGGGCATTTCTACCACGGGGCGTGCATTGGCCCATGGCTTGCCATCCGGAACACGTGCCCAGTGTGCCGGTACGAGCTGCCTACTGACGACCCTGAGTACGAGAGGCGGAGGGCGAGGCGCCGTTCCGCTGGTGGCTCAACGCCACAGTCGGGTACACCGATGCAAATTTGAGCTAAGGCTGCTTGGTGGTATGTCTTGGATGCAATTCCATCATTCCATGGAAGTGAGAAACCTCACTCATTGAATTCGCATTAGGATGTTTACACGCCACTAGAATCATACTTCTATGGTCTTGAATTTTTTTCAGGATTCAGCTTTTATGCTTGGGACTTGAATGGGAAGAACAATTATCTTAACAATTTGTACATAAATCTTCTTGTTTCAATATATAGCAAATTCTTCCTCGCTTTTGAGAGGATACGTACTAGCATGTTTGTACTGCTGGGCTAACACTTTGCTTACTATGTGTGACATTCATCGTAATTACAGAATCAACATTGTAAATGCTTGTTTTCTGTGCTTGAGAACTCAATTTATTCATCCCGGCCCATTGACAACAAATTTAGATGTGCTTTGAAAAGTAATTTATCAAGTGAACTATGCCAGGACTGTTTAGCAATTGATGGTTATTTTCAAATTTTAAATAGTTCTTGCAAATGGTGCACTTGATTTTGACCATGATTGATTTCTGTACGTTATGTAAATAGCATGTCATGCAATGCTCACACAAATTGATATCTAGATCAACTGTCAGGAACACACTGGACGAAAGCAATCTTGTTAAAATATGAGATGAAACTTCTTTAATATGCTTAGGTTGACAATGAGGTATAACATAGATGCTACATTAAAATTTATTCATTGCTTACATCACTGAGCATCAACAAGTTACTCAGTACTACTCATCACCAGCATCAGCTGTCAGCACTGAGATGAGTTAGTGCTATTCTAAAACTTCAATTGGCAGCTTGCGGTACCTTCTTATCATTATTCTGGTGACCTTCGTGTGAAGTTGGCTTCTGTTATTTGTTGTGGCTTTTCAAATCTCCTTTATGTGTGCTCTCTTCTAGAGTGCTGGTTTATAAATGTTCATGCTGTTAAGCTTTTACACTTGATTGTTCCCAAGTTTTGCACTGATCGTGGAATGTCTTTTGCTCTCTTCATCCGGGCTGTGCTGTGCATGATGTACACCTGAAGGTTTTGCTTATTTGTCTGATATTTCTGAAATGCCTGTGACTGATAAATATCTTTCACTACTGCTGATTGGGTTACAATGTGAGTATGTGACTTCTGGGCAACATAAATCAGGTACTGATGCAGCATGGTATGATATGCTGCCCTTAAGAGAAATGCTACAGATTTTTCGTGGGTTGGCCAGAGACTGGCAGTTGTGGCTAGCCACCACACGTCTGTTCGTAGTTTCCAGGGTGTTTCAAGATTCAAACATTTACCCATGTTCTATGTTTCAGAGGCTAGAGACTCAGGCCTTGTTTAAATCCAGTGTGTAAAGTTTTAGGGTGACATCGGGTGTCGCATGGGGTGTTCGGATACTAATAAAAAAATAAATTACAGAATCCGCCGGTAATCTACGAGATGAATTTATTAAGCCTAATTAATCCGTCATTAGCACATGTGTTATTGTAGCATCACATTGTCAAATCATGGACTAATTAGGCTTAAAAGATTCGTCTCGCAAATTAGGCTCTGTTCGGCTGGTATTAAATCGGCTTCTGCTGATTTGTACGGCTGGTTTGTTGTGAGAGAAAAACACTGTTCCACGGCTGATTTATATGGATTAAAGCCGGCTAAATAGCACAAGCGAACAGGCCTCGCAAACTGTGCAATTAGTTATTTTTTTAGTGTATATTTAATAATTAATGCATGTGTCAAGCATTCGATGGGATAGGGAGTAAACTTTAGTGGGAGGAACTAAACAATGCCTCAATCATGGTAGTATGGTACACTGAAATTCCTGGACTGCTGTATAAATGTTTGTTTTCACTTCCTCTGGTGACTGGTGCTAGCAATAGTGTTAGCTCAGCAGCAGCTAGTGGTAATGAGATGAAGTATGTTGCTGTTCATGTCTGGAAAATGGAAACTAATTGATGAATTGCCACTCAATTAGGAGGCATAACATTGGTGTTATGTTAAAAGTTTCTCTATGCTTTGCTACTATGGCATCAGCACTGAGACGAATTTATGCAACTCTAGTTGCATCTCGTAGCATTTTACGTGGACATTCTGTGATCTTGGTATGAACATTGGCCTGTCGACTATTTTTCTGTAGTTTTGGCTTTAGGACCTCATTTATGTCTGTCCTCTTCCTAGAGTTCTTGTACTGGTAGTAGTTTATAAACGCCCTTACAGTTTCATAGCAGTGGTTTTACGTTTTTCTTTGCTTCCAAGTTCTCAACTGATCGTAGAGTGCTTCTGTCATCCTCGTTTGTGCTCCGCTTGAGGTATATATTAAATGTTTTCCTTATTTTGCTACTGCTCAAAGGCCTGTGAGCGATGGTATCTTTTCACTACTAATTTTTGCGACTGTGATATGATTTCTGTGAGGTATGAATCAAGTAACTGATATATGTTTCGTGCTTAAGTCAGATACGATAGACAGCCATGAAAGAAATAACCCAAATTTTCCATGCCTTGGTTCTAGTCTTCTAGACTAGTGAATTGCGAGTGCCAACTGTTTTTGTGCGTGCATCTTTCAATGTGTTTCCGGAGTCTACTGAATGAACCATGGTTACACTGAATTTCCTGAGACCATAGCTTCTGCACTCCCTTTGGTGGATGGTGGCCATTGGTGATCAGGTGAAGTATCATGTCGTTCATGTGATCTTGCCCTGAGAAAAGGCGAGCTCGATGGTCAGCGAGGAGTTCTTTCTGATTTGGATGCACTGTATCTGTGTTAGTTGGGTTGGATATGACTCGAGATTTTGCTATTCGACAGGTGTTCCTCGTGGTGGTTGGCACCCAGTGGTTTTCTTTGAACTGCAAAATATCCCCATGCATTGTAGGTTCTGGCCACTGGTGACGTTTGTAGGCTCCATAGACCACATCTTTGGTACTGTACTTCGGAGGTGTCCCAAAACAGAAGAGGCGCCGCCGCGGCTGCTATGGACGTTGCCACTCTCCTCCTGTTGTGCATATACTGGGCCCTTATGAGCCTACCGAATGATGTCCAGGCCCATAATTTGTTCACCCTTTACCAGTAATCCCAGTATGTAATGGCCATGCTAATTGCACATGAATCAATTGAGTTCTATAGTAAAAAACAGGGTCTCGTAACTGTATTAGATTCCAAAATCATCAGTCGTATCGTATGATCGCGACCTATGGACTATCGAGTATCTACTGTACCTTGCAGAATGCAGAGTGTTCAGAACGAGCAAATCTCGGGAGCTCCACGACTACATACTCACGATTTACGAACACACGACAACCAGGTATGCACAAAGGCAAATGGTCCTCTCCCTCTTCTTGAACTAGTAGTGAATTACTATGTCATCTTGGTCGCCGATCGGCGATCGAACACCTGCCTAGTCGGCCGTTGCCTCATCGCCGGCGTCGCCCTTCCCCGACGCCTCCCTGTGCCACCGCCGCCGCCGCAGCGGCCTCGGCGACCGCGAGCCTCTCCCGCAGGGCGCCCGCCTCCGCACTGAGCCGCGCGTTCTCCCGCGCCTCCCGCGCGCGCGCGGCCGCCACGCGGTTCAGCTCCACGGCCAGCCGCGTGTTCGCGGCGCGGAGCGCGGCCACGCGCGACGACATCTCGTCGAGCTGCCCCCTCCGCCGGGCGCGCGCGCGCCGCGCCGACTCGCGGTTCGACGCCTGCCGCCTCGCCTTCCGCTCGTCGCGCGCCGCCTGCTGCTGCTCCAGCTCTCCCGTGCCCATGCTCGCCCCGGCGCCGACGCCGCCGGCACCGGCGCCAGTGCCGTGGCCGCCGTACGTGCCCCAAGAACCGTCCGCGGTGCCCGGGTAGGACGACGGCTCGTGGGCGAAGTCTGCTGCTGCACCGAGCGTGTGGCACTGGCACACCAACGTCGCGATGTCGTCTCTCTGCATGACTGGAAGCTAGCTGTTGCAGGATAGCTCTCGGCAAAGTTGCAATGACGAGGAGATGATTGGAAGCTAGCTCTTGTCGTATTTAAAGGAGATCGAGTCTTCTTCGATCAATGGAGGGACCGAGCTAGGGAGGAGATGACGACGACGTATATATATATACAGATACAGATGGAGGTGAGTGAGTTATTTAGAGCCTCTTTGGCAGGGCTTCAGCTTCGGCTCCTGTAGGAGGTGTGCCAAATGTCTGTTTTGGAAAGGGCTTCGTATGGGGAGCCGGTCAAGAGCCGGAGCTATTTTTTGCATGCGCAGGAGAAGCTTAAAAAACGAGCTTCGTGCGGCTCCTTGCTGTGGGTTCACGTCGTCTAGTGCGAAGGAGCCGTTTTGCCAAACGTTTTACAGAACGGCTTTAGCTCCTCCAGAGGAGCAGCTCCTCCAGAAAAGCCAAAGCCAGAGCCATTTTCAGAGAAGACAGAGCCTTGCCAAACATGCCCTTAAACTGCACACAGACACAGAGAGCCCTAAGCGAACCTTCCTTTTGCGTCTTCATGCAGGATTATCCTGTAATTTTTTGGGACGATCCGATTGCTGTCGTCTGGCTGCAAAATTTTGTTTGCCAAGTAGGCCTTTACTCAGAAATAGTCGTCTTCTCGTGTGGAAAATCATGCCATGAAGTCGCTGCAATTCCTGCGCATTACTTTGATTGGAAATTTGCACGCAAAGTACGCAGAGAGCTTTGGAGTTTGAAGCATTGGTTTGAGAAATTTCGCGTCTTTCTTTTTCTTGTGAGATTACTATCATGTTAAAGATTTCTTTTTTCTCAACAACGCGTGAGGACAAGAATAGTTTACTTGTCCACGAGGTACTTTATTTAGCAGCAAGTCTTTTCATTGCACGACAAAGTGACGACGGCATTGCCTTTCACGCTTTTTTCGTGTCAAGATATGATAGCAAGATGTTTATGTATAGTGACGCCACAAATGATGCCAGTAGTACCCAAACTATTTGGTGCACTTCCTTGGGTGCATATATGTTACATGTGGTTGTGAGCTTTTCTGGTACTGTTGGGCAATCCCTTTGGCCTTCTATAGAGACTTTTGAGCCCCCTTTAGAACGCGAGATTTTTCTCCCTATTCCTGCGTTTCTATGTGAAAAATAAACTAATTCCTATGAATTTTCTATACAATTCCTGTGGTCCAAAGTGACCCTTAATTTGGTTCGATATACTCTATTAAAATAGCTAGTTTTAAGAAAAATACATGGGCAAATGGGTGGTATTGTATATGCAAATAAATTTTTCCTAATAAATACAATGGGCAAATGGGTGGTATATGTGAATGCCTTGACACACATGGGTGGTATATGAGCCAATGGCTTGACACACCTTGCTAAGTCAGGCGAGCCGAATTGGCTCGCAGCGCCTGGCAAGAATGTGTACAAAGTCCGAGAAAAAACCTTGCTTGCCAACCAAACGTATGTACTGCCCCATATTCTCTTTGGGCAAGGTTAGGCTTGGGCAAGGTTAGGCAAGGAGTGGTATATAAAGCATCCAAACACCCCCATATACATCAGCAGATTGACAAGTGATGATGGCTGCAAACATGATCTGAACACAGTAGGAGACTTTTGTTTGTCATATGCTGATGTCTTGTGTTCATCTATGAATATATTTGGAACTTGAATGCAGACATGCATCATCTATGAATATATTTTTGTGTTAACGACCGACATCGAAGTGTATGTATATGATAACGTTCTTTAGGATTGTAGGCTTAGTTTGCGTATCATCAGTTTTGATTTGCTTACCTACCAATGCCATTAGCAGCAATAATTGTTCCAATTTGGTGTATGATACTTATAAGACAACGGGCATGTCTAAAAGCAAAATGTATATGTGGAATTGACGAGCTAGTACTATAGGGGTTTAATTAGTAGGACAACAGGGCTTACTAATCTGACGGCATAAACTTGTTTATGGTGACTCTTGCTGACCATCAACTTTTGAAGCATTGTCTTACAATTTTCTCAACAACCACCATCAGCTCAACAACAGGTTACTGTCTTAGCCAAACTTTGCTTTAGCACTTTTCATATCACCTTCCTGTTTTTATTGCCATGCCATCTAGAAACATTTCTTTCTGCTTATCCAGGTAGACAGGTAGTATTCAGAAATAATGGCAACTACTGACGTCTAAGACATTCAGTTAATCTCCTACATCAGTTGACAATGTGCGCAGTTTACTATGCAAACAACTTTTCTGAAAGTAAAGCCTAACCTTCCTGTTATCCTCGTTGCCTTGGTTTTAGCTGACAAACAGTTTTCAGTGACGTAAATGGCCGGTTTATTTCCATCTACTTGGCAAACCTTTTGATATAGAAATGGACAAGATATGGATGCGCGGTCAGCGCTTAGCGATCCAAATGCCTTTTGTTATCAACAATTGTTAGTGGCTTCAGCTTTCGGTACACCCTTGTTGTCTTTGTTACGTTTGCAAGATGAAAACAAAATATGGCGAAAACGTCATCACCTAGAAAAAGGAATCGAAATTGAGAATGTTTTTTTTGCACCTTATAAGATTACTAATAAGGGAAACCAAAAGTATAAGTGACCTATCCAGGATTGCGATGGGCAATCCCATTGTAGCATACATGATAAGCTAGCTAGCGTGGGGAGTCAAAGCTAGCAGTCCATTAACCATGAAAAGGAAGGTTATAGAGCATAAAATAGACATTGTGTACATGATAGTGGATTACAATAAGTTAAAGAAACATAAGGGCCGCAGTTTATTCTGTCTCTCTTTTTCTCTCTCTCCTCGCACCATGTAGCGTTCGCTGGACATGCCCGAATTTGTTTTAATTGGTATGTCAAAAAATAACAACACATGAAGAACTTTTCAACATTTCAAGGACTTCTTGGGCACTTACTTTAGCATAAGTGGCGGTTTAAATTGGATTTACCTTGGGCTCCAGCAGGCACTATCTAACCTCCGGCCCTGTTCGCTGCAGCCAACAGCTGCTGCTCGTACGGTTCTCTGCTGAGGGCGTCCGCAACAGGGGACTTCGCTAGCTGATTCAGAGTTCATCCGACGTGTAGGTGAGAGAAAAAAAAAAGAAGTGACCTCGCTATCCACTCTGTCATGGTTGATCTCGCTCAAGAAATGAGGTGGCAGAGGAACTCGTGTCTATGCATGGGTTCTGGGCAGGAGATGAAAATAATAATAATAATATAACATGTAGGATCCACACGCTGATGTGGCTCCAATCGCTAGCTGCTGGCGGTTTCTGGTGAGGACTCCCTCAGAGCAGTCCAGGTTTCGAGTTTTCCGTGGCCTAGAGCTTAGCTAAAATTCAGTGCTTCTTGATATAATAAGCACTCATGTTCATAACTTATATGGCCAAAGACAGCTCCAACGATGACTTACTTATGAGCTAGTTCTAAATATTTTATTTTATACTTTAATAAAAAAAAGAAAAAACTATTTTAACAGGTGCACTACGGAAGCCGCCGCCACCCAGAGACACAGCCAACACCTGCTGCAACTTTCGCCTCCGGGCCATCGCTGTTCCTCCTAGGGCCACTCTCCTCAATCTCCGGTGCGTCTGCCGGGGACAAGAAGAGGAGACCCACCTTTTTTCACGCAGTTTTTCTATCTAGTTGCTTAGAGTTTAGTCCAATAAATCTTTCGGTAAAACCAGATGATTTTCGGACGGGATCGTGTTTCAATTCCTGCGATAACTTTGGTGATTGCCACGATGAGATCGCCATTGCAGGCGTCGATTTCATCGGCAGGCGACCAATTTGTTACCTTTATCTACAAGAGGAGGGGTGCTTCTGGGAGCCCCCTACGAGAATAACGACTCCGGGTCATCGATCTCATCGTCGATGGTTGCGGAGAGGATTTCAAGGTCTCAAGGTGATGATCATGCAGCCTCTGTCGTATCCGACGATGCAATTGCCGATATTCTTTCAACAATTTAGATGCTTTTTGGACTAATTCTAAAGCGTTGGATCTTGCGGCATGTCCAATGTTTTAGGGTTGGTTGTTGGATTTGGCATATGGACTGCACTTTGGCTCCGGCATTCGAGGGAAAGCCACTGGGGAAGAAGATGATGGAAGAATCTGGATATAATATTATGTATTTTCTTATTTTAGATTTTTTCATGTGTAATTTAGGGATGTCCTATGCCAAGATTTAATATAAGTCCCCTTCCCTTCTGGGAAAAAAAAACAGATGCACTCGGTCTCCTATGTATATACAAACATAAGACCAATGCAAGGCATCAGGTTTTCACACTAAAATTATCATTGGCACTACATGCAAGATGGTTTTCACACTAGAGTTCTCAGCCAGATTTTTCTAGTAAATAGTAAGATTGTTTTTTAAGACAAACTCTCCTTCAAAGAGGAGCTTCGAGGGTTTATCTTCATGCAGACAGCCAGAAACTGTGTATGAGGCTTCAGCATAACGATCCAACATGTTGGATAATTGACACTGTTGACTCCAAGCTCTAAGCAATAGATAATAGTTTCCTCCACAGTTGAGTGAACCTCCAAAGTACAAATATGCAGCCTTAGACTACGTCACCTAAATGATATGCAACACTTGAAATTCATGCGCTATGGTTAATTCAACAATAAGGAAGTATATAACTCGGTACTCTAATTGCTACTGCATTTCATTAAACAATGAGAAATCATAAACATACAAAGTATATTTGCTACTGCATTTCTTTAAACGATGAGTTGGGATTTCTATTCTACTCATATGAATGCTAATAAATCATGAACTATACATGAGGATGCTGACAAAGTGCGCGCTACTGCATTACATTAAACGATGAGTTGTGATTCTATTCTACTCATACAGGAATTAATTCGAACAAGACATTTGAAATTACCATATATTTGCAAATTGATTTCTTTGTGGTGAGTGACCTGCCCACAGTTGCTGCTGGATTTGGGTCAGAAACCATCAGTTGATGGTGGCGGCGGCTGCGGTGG